TTATGAATTTTCATTAATTGTGACAAATATAAGGACCATAATGTAATATACAAATAATTTGGAAGTTAGTTTTGAAGTTTTTCTTTTGGAGAAGAACACTTTGAAACTTCAAATATAGAGTTTGTGAAACTTCAAAATACAGTTCTTTTTTTGAGATGCTCTAAGGCATTGTTCAAGGTTGGGATGAACACATATGAGATGAAATTCTCACAGCTGGTTGGGATTCTTAAAGCTGAAGAGATGGAAGCAACTACATGTAACCTAAAACATAAAAAGGAATATCTTTTGTTGCTGAGGAAGAAAGTGACAGATTCCAGGTTCTTCATGAAAGTCTAAATTGAAACATGGATGAGTGTGTTAAATTGCTGCCACAAAATATTGAGGAAGCTTTGAATCAATCTGAGAAATGTCAGAGAAGAAACTCGATTTCACATGAGTGGTGTAATAGTAAAGGTAGTCAAACATGTGATTGTCACTGCCATGATGTGTGCAAGAGACAGCCTAAGGTTGAACGTCCATATCTTAAAAAGAGAAGTGATGAAAAGCTTAATCTTGTAGCTCCTTTAGGAAAAGAAAGTGATGAAAAGCTTGAGATGGATTCTGATTCAGACAGTGATGGAGAGATAGATGTGAAGGCTGAATACCGTAAGCTCTATAATAGTTGGGTTGAGTTGAGCAAAGAGAATCTGAGTCTGCTCAAGAACAAGGCACAGCTAGAAGCTCAGATTAACATAATGGAGTCGTCAACGCGTTCAAGGAAGGATAACGAGTTGCACAAGCAGAGCGAAGCTAAACATGAAAATACAACTAATTTGGAATCAAAGTTATGACGATTATCAGATCTTTTGTCAGAAGAAATAAAAAGAGAAAAGTAGAAGTCTTGAACATAATTTGAATGAAAATCACAAGAAGATCAGGATGTTGAGCAAAGGAACAATGGATTGGATATCCTTCTTGCCATGGGACAACCTGTAAAACAGAATTAGGGTCTTGGATACAAGGAGAATCATGTGTTAAGCTCCACAAGCAATGTATCAAATCAAACAAGTCTCTTTAATTTCGTTCATGCTGAGTCAGTTCCTGATATATTAAACAAAGAGAGGTTAAATCGCAGCAAACTTGTTCAAGCCAGAAAGTACTTGTTAAACTGAAATATCAGAAGGTAAAACAAGGTTGCTACTTCTGTGGGAAACATGGACACATACAAAGATATTGTTATGGTTTGGAAAGAAAGATTAGGTCAAGGAAAGCTGAAGAACGTAATCTCAACTATGGATGTTATTCTTGTGGGAGACTTGGACATACTCATCGATTTTGCTATGAATGAATCAATAATATAAAGAAGGCTTGGAGTGAAAACAAATGCTATGTTGAGCCAAGAAGCTATTGTAATGTATGGATTGAAAATCAGATGTGTATTCCAAATGTAAGGAGACTGACAGTGTTCAAGAGCTTGTGTGCAACGTAGCATGCTCAGAGAAATTAAGATACACGAAGGACAACATGAGAGAGGTTAATGCTGAAGTTGTTCAAGGTCTACTCAGGCAGGTTAATGAAACAAATGCCTTGTGCAAGGTTTGAGCAGTTTGGAGTTTTTCCAAGAGTTTCGTCACTCACGGAGAGATTGATGAACTGGTCAGGTTGATGATACTTGGTTAAAGGGGAGTTTAAATTGATTGTTCGCTAGTAAGCTTGAGTTGTAAAACTCAGTGAAAAAGGAGGAGAATGTTAAGACTAAAAGTCTGCAGGTAAATGTGTTCAGTAGAGATTCGAAGTTGCACAAGTCCTGACGTGGCATCATTGTATTGGTTGGAGTTATTAATTATGTTTCGGTAGAGATAAAGATTGAAAATCTAAAAAATAAGGATAACTCAAGAGATTGAGACTTAACAAGATTAAAAACGTGGATTTTCTTTAGAGATAAAAGAATGAAGCTTGGAGAGTTATCTTTTACCGTTCTTAGAGTGCAGAAAAGATTGTTAGGTCTTAAGAAATTTTGGTTGTCGACTAAGGTTGGATAGATTAGAAATTGGCCAGTGTCGTTTCACAGGTGTGAAGTCGAGTCAATCTGATTAAACAAGTTTGTAATGATTGTTTAAAGAATTTCTAATAAAAATCAACTGTTTGGAAGAATCAACTTGTTCATTCGTATTTGGTGTTGAACGTGTTTCTGTGTTCTCAGGTTTTACAATAGATTTCTTGAGGAGACCATTTCCATGATCGTGTTAACCAGTCTGAGAAGGCTTCCCACGTATGGAAAGCTAGTTGTCCATAACCCAGGCGCGGAGAATGATGTCCCAAATTTGCTCGCTCATCTCACATCCAATTGAAGAAGAAGGTGTGGTCTTTGTTTTAGTTGGCCTTGTTTTCGTTGGCCAAGTTACAAAGACAACAAGAAGATGGTAAGTTTAAGCCCTAATTGACCAGACAAGCTCTTGTAGGCAGACGGTCAAGATGTGTGACCCACATTGTGATAGCATGCCGTTGGGACAGCTCCTTTGAACCAGCAGGGAGCAGCCCACGTTTCTGAGTTGCTCGTTCTCTTATTTTCTCCCAAATTTTACTTGTCGATCAGAACCTTGTGAGTTCATCATTTACAAATTACAAGCCAGTAGTTGTAGTTTTCTGTAGGATAATGCACGGGCGGAACCACAGTAATTGATTCACCACTCAATATTTTGATTGGAAGTTGTAATACTGTCCTTTTTTTTGTAACACAAGTTTTTTTGTTTTGGATACACACAAGTTGTAATAGTGACCACATATAAATAAACGTAACAATTACACACTTACGACGTACAACGTTCAATTATACATTTGGAAGTTGGTATCTCTATATATATATCTCTTTTCCTACCTATCACTTCTTTTTCTGCGTTTATATGCCTTAAGATGCGACGACGACGAGTGTCATTTAATCATGCATGTGAGCGCATAAGGATCGCGTGCGTGGAATCACATTCGATTTTCAAAAGAAATGTAGTGCTAATATTTGATATCTCCCAGCGGTCGAGTCATCTATCCTTACAGCAACACACGATACTTCTCCACAACAAACAAACAACCGTTCAGAAAATATCTCCAAACATATACATATTAAAAACATAAATCTCATAACATACTCTAGCATATTCTGCCAACACATTTATTTTGTTATCACATGTGTCACTCACTAAAAGTTAAAACAAGCATCTAATGGTAATATCATTCAAAAAACATTACCTAATATTCGCTATGAATTTTTGTTTATATATTGTGTTTCTTAATGTTCCTTTTAATTTCTTTTATATACGGAGAATTAAAACTTTCTTTGAGAACCACAAGTCCCCTGGTCTTTTAGGGAACCTACAGACGTACAAATCGGTACAATGTAGTTCCAGTAATATGTCACAATTTATTTGATCTTTCTATGAAACCACTAAGGAATAATTATATATAATTTAAATTTTGGTGAAATAGTAATACCGGACTAAATTTCAGTTAAAACAAAAGAAAAAAAATAGTAATTCTTTATGGTCCTAGCGGAGACAAGAACCTACAAGTCTGGCGACTTAATTAGATCAAAAATAAAGATTAACTGCTAATGCAGATCAAACTGATCAAATACATATCTAACTGAAGAAGATCAACCAGAATATATAAAAATATAAATTATATTTATTTTATTAAAGTAAATAAAATTAAGTAGTTAAACTTAAAATACAAGTTCTTAACTATAAATATATATAAATTACCATATATAATACATGAATTTATTAAACTAAGTCATATAAATACTATAAAGTATTAATTTATAAAGAAATATTAATTGTTCTAATTTTAATATTTATTATCAAAACAATAATATAATATAATATAATATAATATAATATAATATAATATAATATAATATAATATAATATAATATAATATAATATAATATAATATAATATAATATAATATAATATAATATAATATAATATAAATAATATAATATAGTATAATATAATATAATATAATATAATATAATATAATATAATATAATATAATATAATATAATATAATATAATATAATATAATATAATATAATATAATATAATATAATATAATATAATATAATATAATATATTTTTCTCTATCAATGTAAATGTTATATACTAGTTTTGAGAGAACAAGAAAAAATAGATGATACAAAAATAAACACAACATATAAAATTGTGGAAATGTTAAATATATATAATTTCATGTCAATAGTTTTATAAAATGTATTTATATTTTATCAAATAAATTATTTTAAAGTTTCTACCGAAAATATGAATATTATTTTTAAATATTTTTATTGGTTTAAAAGTGAAAACATAAATTAATAAAATATTCTATTTATCAGTAATCAATTAAAAAAAAGAAATTTACATATATTGGTCATGTGAAAATGTACATCCCATTTTCTTACCGTATATATCGATCAAAATTTTAGTGTATAGTTTAAATCTGCATACAAATTTTTACTTTTGTAATCATTTGTTCTTCTGTAATAATATGTTGAATGTAAAATAAATGCAAAACAAACTGAGAAGAGTTTGACTGCATTTATTATATATATATATTTCTTGCACTTTCATTCAAAGCCTACCGATAATCTTAGCTTCGGAAAACGGGCTCATTCATACCCGAACTATGAATATCTAGGAAAACATAACTAAAATTTTTTGTGTGCTAAAATATATTTAAACTTTTTTTGCGTGCAAAAAAATACCTAAACTTTTTTTTTGTATGTGAAAACATACTTAAACTATATATAATTTTAAGAAAAAATTGTAAATATAGAACAAAAAGACTAATAGATTATCCCTATGCATAATATGAAATATAAGTTGTCCAATTAGTATAAATTTTTCTGTAAACCCAATTAATCCCCTAATCTAAACTCAAATAGTTTGTTATTTCTTTTAATTATTAAAAAAAACTTATAATTTAATAAAAAATAATAAACAAAAGGGAAAAATAACAAAATAAGGGAAATGGTTCCCGATCTCCTTTTTCCCAATTGTCATACCCTAAAGTTCTCCTTCCTTTAGCGATTGAGAGAAGAGCTGACTCCAGAGCTAACCGTCGCTGGTGTTCCTTCTTTCTGGTAAGACTCTGGCGGTGTTTTCTTCTTTTTAATCGAAGTCTCCGACACCTCTTGTGTCTCGTTCTCAAGTAAATTGCCGAACACTGAAACTCGTACCTCACCGGAAACTGAAGCTTCTGCCTTACCGCTCTGCAATCTACACGCTCAACTCTCGTTCAAGCAAAACGATCGAGATTTTTAGGTTTATTCAAGGAGTTGAGATTTTTTTTTTTGCATGTCTTTGTATCTTTAATTTGAGTCTTTTTTTACTCATAGTTCGAGTGTGATTGGTTTGAAATGTACTTTTTGTGAATGATTTGAGTGTCTATGTTATCAAAGTTTCATTCATTTGATTTTTGTCATCGGTTTTGCTCTTAAAGTTTCATACTTGATTTTTGTCATCCGTTCTGATATTAAAGTTTCATACTTGTTCATGTTTTTCATATGTTACCGTTTAATTTGTTTTAGTGGCCACCGATTTTACTATTAAAGTTTCAGGCTTGTGTTGACATAGCTCGGGTTAAACATGTTATATTGAACTCGTATTGAGTTGTGTAAGAACTCGTATTGAGTTATGTAAGACAACCTGGAATGAAATTGTTACCATGATGTATTTTTGCCGAGTTGGTGTCTCATATCTATACAATTGGCTTGGATTTACATCTAAATATATTGTAAGCTATGTGGTTTCGGTTTCAGGTTTGTTGTAGGACTTGTGAACATAATTTCGCATATTTTTCTCTTTGATTTGAGTGTCTTTAATCCTAATATAAGTATAACGGGTTTATATTATTGATTGTGTGAATAATTTAGGCTTATATGATAGCAAAGTTTCATAATTTTTGATGTTTTTGTGGTCACCAAATTGTTAACTCACTTTTATACAGTTTGTGTTGTTTTATCTCGTTTAATTGATGTAAATGGAATGGTATGTGGTCTCGGTTTTGCATTATTTTCTTTGTTTTGCTTTGACTAGGGTGTCTGATATATACATTATGTATGAGTACTGACTGTATTTCTTTCATTGTTCACAGGTATGAAAATGGATCAATTGCCTAAATGCTTATTCAAAAAAGGAACTGAAACACAAGTTAAGGTCAACAACACTTGCCGAGCTACAATCCTTCAGTTGGTGAAAGTGTCCATTCCAGCAGAGTACTCGGATGTCTTGGAGGATCCACTCTTTGCTCAAGTCATGGCCATTAGTGATCACAACAGCTTCGCTATTCTGGGACAGTGATCCACACCTTGGTTTGTAAGCAGCTTCTGACCGCAAAACTTCATGAGTTGTGGTTCCATTTTGATAGAAGGCCTCTGAGATTTTCAATGCAAGAGTTCTTTGAGATCACTGGTCTGAAGTATGAAGACGAACCTGACTTGGATATTGATAACTGGAAATCCGATAAAGGGTTTTGGAGTCAGTTGCTTAGGAGGAAAAATAAGATATCTCTACAACATATCAGGAAGGTGCATCTGAAGAAGTGTAATACGTGGTCTCATGTTGATAAGCTGAGATTGGTGTATTTGTGTGTGATTGCTGATATGGTTATAGCGAAGGATGTGAAGGTGTGGATACCACACATGTACATCAAGGTCGTGATGGATTTCAAGAAGATGAGGAAGTACCCACGGGGACTTTATTCCTTTAACATGCTGGTGAGTTCCATTATCGATGCTAGGGACAAAGTGAAGATAAGGAAGAGTTATGTTATAGATGAATTCTCTTATGCACTTCAGATTTGGGCGATGGAGGCTATTCCAGACATCGGTACTCTTTTGGGTCAGAAACTTGAACAAAGCGTCATCAGCATGATATGCAGAAATTGGAAAGGATCTTCTCAGATATCTTTTAAAGATATTACTAGCATAGAGTCTGATTCTACCTCCATTGTAAGTTGTGATTCCCTTTTAATGTGATTTAATTCATTTATCTTAATGTATGTGTCTTTACCTTGTTTATTTGTTTATGTTTTGTAGGGAGCTTTGTTTTCATCCATCGCTTCCAACGGAAACTTCCACATGTTGTTGTTCAAGAAGAGTTTGCACAAGCAGGTGAGATGAATGATGAAATGGTCGATCTAATCATCGACATGTACCAGAACAACTATGATTGGAGTAAGCATGTATATGCTTATCATGAACCTCGACACTCATAAGTGCCTAGTTATGATGAAGAAGATACAGAAGTGGAGGAGGGTGGAGTAAAAGTGAGAATGAAATGGAAGAAGACACAAAATTCACACCTGCGCCTGTTGAAAGAAAGAGAAAAAACTTTTTTTTTTCAGGATACTGGTGCTCAGTCAAGGAAGAAGAAGTTACTCTTCCAAAGATCATCTGAAAAATATAGAGAGCTTGAAGAGGAAATGAAGTGGTACCTTCATGGGATGTGTAAGGCTTCATTCACTTCCTCAGTGCTTGAGGTACGTGATACAGTTGAAGACCGGTTTACCAAATTTGAGGAGAAGGTGATATCACTCAAATATTTAACCCTAAGGAGTGAATTACTCTCTCAAATAAGAGGTTCAATTGTAGTACTTAGGGATCAAATCCACAAGGAGCTAAGGAACCTAATAGATCTAATAGTTATATGATTAAGCTAGGCTAATAAGTATTAATGCAGTAAATAAATATAATAAACTTGAAAACAATAAACAAGATGAACAAGGTAATTGTTCAACTTGGCAAGGATTTGTTGAATGGAAGGATGGTTGCTAGATCTAGGGTTTCTAATCAGGTAATCAGGATTATAATGCTATAGATGCCTAACAAGTTGCATGCATGATATTAAAGAGCTTCAACTCTTAGATAAATCTATCAGCTTTCGCAGTCTAGACTCGTCCATTGATATGATGCCGACAATATCGATCGATAATAATGTCGTTACATCGATCGATATATACTTGTCGTAAATCGATTACTCTATAGGAGTATCGATCGATATAGCTTCAGATCGAGTATGAAATAATGCCCACAAAGATCATAGACCGGCTATCGCTCATCCCTAGAGGATCTTAGCTTGTACATGATGATATCAGGGTGAAGATTAATAAATTAAGCTATTCCAGTTCATGGTTCTAGTTCATGACTCTAGAAACAAGCATTAAGAGCATCCTAACAATAAATATCACAACTTAGCAATCTATAGTTGGGGCTAATCCCACAACCTATCTGAACCCTAAATCCAAAAGGTGGATCTATTCAGACATGAAGTTTGTCAGAGAAATCATAGATGAATAGATATAGAACTGAAATAGAATAGATATAAAAACCAATGGAGTTCCAGGAGGACTCTGATAGGAGTTCCTCCCTTCTCTCCTAACTAAGAGAAACAATATATGAAAAGAAAACTTGTGTGTAAAGCGTAGCCGTCAACAATGGCTTGCAAATAACATAAATAGGGTTTCTGATCGTCAAGGGTAATTTGGTAACTTGTGGGCTTCAGTCGATTATGAAATCTAATCACCCTACATTCTGGCATTCATATCGATCGATATGAAGGCTTTCCCATCGATCCATATACATTCCTCTTCTCGACAGCCTTCTCTCGCGAGGCAGACTGACCACTCTTCAGTAAAACGAGCATAACTTCTGATCTAACCGTTGGATTGACCTCAAACCGGTGGCATTGGAAAGCTAACTCAAAGCCCTATTTTTTTTGTCAAAATATGGGCTAAATCACACCATGGGAAGATCTCCATCCAAATCTAAACATCTGACACGTCTGCGCAGTTCTGCACTTAAGGGCTCCAAAAGACACCAAAATCACCATATTTCTCCAAAACGTACATGAACCTGTAAATACTCTAAATATACTCTATATTGTAGTAAATATATATGAAAACACCTATAAACCATGGCTAAAAATGGGTAAAATCCATGGTCGATCAACTCTCCCAGAGTTACCCTTTTGCTTGTCCTCAAGCAAAACAAACAAGCAGTCTCTCTAAAAGAGGTTTGAAAACAGCAGGGACTCAAAAGATTTTAAAAACTCAGTCACCATCTCTCTAGAAGTACAAACCAAATCATAAACATCCTAACCTTAGAAGCACATTATACAATATCCTAGTATAGCAACCAAATTCACCTAGTCAACAACTCAATAGATACTGTCCGACAATCCCCTTTACTAACCTCATTTCTTACATAAAATAAAAGTGCAGGCTTCACCCTGGGAATATCGATCAAAGGACACATGGACTCTCACTCCAGCATATATCTGAGTAAATATGCAGTCTTACTGATCTTTTCCTTCTCTGAATCCCAAATTTTCTTCTTCTTCTTTTTTTTTTCTTTTTATTGTCAATCCCAATGAACAATAAATGCTCATCTTATTGATCTTTCTACTTTTGTAGCTTTTTCTGGCAAAGTGTAGGCGAATAGTGGGGTCATGGGTAATGTACCTCTCCCTCGCTTCCACAATGTGTGATCATTCCTTTGAATTAGAATAGTGGGGTCATGTGTAATGTACCTCTCCCTCTGCCTCTCAGAAAATCATCTCAATCTTTTATTATTCTTTTTGGGATGCCAAAGGATGGAGAGAAGGAAACCAAAATCACAAAGACTTTTACCTTTCAGATCTGAAGGAGGAATCCGATCCACTGTATATCAATCCCCAAGACAAGCAAATCAAGTCAATTTTAGGTTGGAGGTCAGCTTTGGTTCCTTCAAACATTCTCAGCAAGTGCAAACATAGTTGACAGGTTGATCCACTTTAGTATATCTAGTACTTCTGCAATCAGTAAATCTAAGACTGGTCTAAAGAGTGGTTAGATGACAAGTAATAAATCGAAATAGATCATCATCCCCTTCTTGACTTAATAAAAACTTTTATTTATTTTTTAAATATATTTTAAATAAGACTCATAAAGTAGATAAACGTTAGTAATCCCCCAGACTTAAATTACACTGTCCCCAGTGTAACACAGTCAGTGATAAGATGAAAATCGAAAAGCAGAAGTACAAATTTAACAAGTAAGAACGAAAACCTGCTCAGTGTCGATCGACACAATGAATTTACAATCGATCGTTGTTGATGAAGTGTTGTCGATCGATGTCAACATGGTCGCATCGGTCGATGGATAGAGAGATCATTCGACACAAAGAAGAGACAATCGATCAATGGATGTGAAGTGCTGTCGATCGATATCGAGGTGGCCTCATCGGTCAATGTGCTGAGCAATCGCCTACTCGGGTCCCTATTCTAAATAGCTAACTAAGCAAAAAATATTAGTATAACCTCCCCCAGACTTAAATAACACTGTGACCAATGTTATACAGCCTAAGATTGGTGGGACAATAAATCATAAGGAAAATATTTAACAAAGAAACACTGTATACCTGCTTTGATGTGAGTAGCGATCAACACAGTTAAGTGGCGATCAATACTTGTGATGATCTGTCGAGTGACACCGGCCGGTTGTCTTTCGATACCTGGCGCAGAACTCATCTTATTCTTTATCTTTTCCTTGTACCTGATATAAATAAAACAGTAATAGTCTAAAAGTTAGTAATAGATAACTAATAAAACCAAAACTCTCTTTTTTTTTTCTTTTTTTCTTCTTTCGATGAACAGTGCTCTACGACAGTACTCGTGCTACAATATCGATCGATGTACTTGTTACAGTGTCACTCGATCTTCCGTGCTACAGTGTGTTGCTACAGTAACGTCATTACTGTTCATCAGTTTTTTACCTGAAATTCTTAGAAAATAAAATATCAGTAATAAATGAAAATAAAACCATGTTTAAAGTTACCTAACAGTGGGTTGCCTCCCACTCAACGCTTTGTTATAGTCATCTAGCCTGACTTTGGAGATCTGAATTAGTCCGGATGAGAATTAGGACATGCTTCAATTCAAGTCTAAATATCTACTATTTGAAGCTTTATCATTCTTGTGTGAAAGCCTCCTCCGTAGAATTTTCTCCTTTGTCTATCATCTCAGCAATAAGGAGTGCTTTAAGCTTTTTATATGTGTGGGAACCGAAATTCACACTTGTCGATTTCCGTTAAATAAGGAAACTTAGGAAAACCCTAATTTTCCAGAGGAACCGGATCTCTGCGAAAGCCAACGACAAGTAACCAAATAAATGCGGAAAATATGAAAAAACATAATAAAACGAATTTATAAAGAAAGTCGATCTTATTTCCGATTCGCGTAAGAGCGTTGCGATCATTACAAGGAATTACAAAGGCTTTGGCCGCAGGGGCCATCAGCGAGTTACAAACATAAAACCCTAGATCTAGTCAAGTCGCAGCTCGATAACGAAAAACGAAAAAAGATAGGAAAAAAGGTTTGAATGATTTCGGACTGAACCTTATAAAAGGCTGCCTACGTACCCCTTTCGGGGATCAAGTCGAACGTAGTTCAGTTGGTAGAGCTGGACCAGAGATCGAACTGCCTGGGCGAGTTCGTCTAGTAATTGAGCGCCAGTCATAGAAACTGAACTTGTCGAGAAAAAGCCTAAGTTTCTAAGTGCGGAAAATTCTAAGTCTAGAAAAGTTGTGAATGTCTCAGATGAGAGCTCTGGATTTCGTCCCCCAGCTTCTGCCCTATGCCTCCTCCTTATATACTCCTCCTTAGGCGGTTTTAGTCTTTCCATTTTGCTCGAAACCGAATATTTCGGGAACTTTCCATATCTGTCGATCCTTCCTTTTCTTATGCGGAAATCTTCTATTTATCTTCAAACTTGCCTTTTATCTTCCGTCTGCGAATAAACCGTCAAAGCGTTATCGTATCTTGGGGTTTGATTTCGTTAACGTCGCGAGATGGGTTTTTATCGTGTTTTAGGACCTTTCGGGCCGTTTTACGATAAAAACCGATTTATGACTTTAACGAGACCGTTTCCTGATCCGATGCCATTTTTTTACGATTCTCTCGACGTTTTTTATTTAAAACGATTTTTTTATGATTTTAACGAGAAATCTCGAATAAATCGTATAGATTAGGCAATGTTCGGTGTTTCGTTTAACCGTTGCCGTTTTATACGATTTCCTCGAGTTCTTTCCGAGAAAGCGAAGATATACGATTTTTATCGTAAAACTTGAATAATAGGTCGGATCGAGACGGAACGGAAGACGTTTCGGCCGTGGTTCAGAATGCGACCGTGTCGAAAGACGTAAGTTTTGAATCGAGGATGCGGGAGAGATCGAGGCTCGGGATGGTCGGCTCGACGTACGGCGAGCTAGTTCAGCTTGGCTAGGTCGCCATATGGCGAACTAGGCGAAAAGAACCAGTGGGGCAAAGTCAGTACCTCTTAGTTCGCCCATTGGCGATCTAGCTGGGACAGGACTAGTTCGCCAATGGGCGAACTAGTTGAGTGTTTCTTAGTTCGCCCATCGGCGAACTAAGCTGGGCCCAGCTTAGTTCGCCGATGGGCAAACTAGTGGAGTGTCCCTAGTTCGCCCATCGACGAACTAAGCC